AGGAATACTGTTTAAAACCGAGCTTAAGAAAGCAATTTTAACGTTTGGATATACTGCTTTTAGAGATACTCGAGGGTAGCATGCTGCACGGGCATACCATGCATGGCACGTGAGCTTTCGTCACGCTTGACTGAAATCATCATCTCGAGAAAACATAATTCTTCCCGTAATTATATCTTTCATGGCTGTTACAAATATTGGGACCAAACAATAATGAAATATATTAGGGTATGCTTAACTTTTTTTCTTTGTGTATAGTTGTCACGTGTGCTATATCAGCTGACCAATGAGACTTGATACATACTTACTTGATCAGTTTGAAAAACGAACACGGATCATAATATCCCGAACGCTATATATATATTATAAAATATTAGAGTGTTACAAAGACACGTGACATCGGACAATTTTCTTCGCACAGCTTTTAATGTATGTATCATATTGTTCCTTTATATTAATATCTGTTACGGATACATTCCGCGAATTACATTCAGGTAACTGCCTGATATCGTACATACAACTATTGTGGGTTGTAATAATTGCATTTCGTTTTCATTCATCAGTTGTATATAAATATATAGTACATGCTGCAACTAAAATAACTCGATATCGGAATATTTTATATCAGATAAAATAATTGTTTTCAGTTACTATCATCCGACCATTGCATAAAAAATCGTTGAATTTATTTTTATTGTGTATTTTTAACCGAATAGATTGGTAGAAAATGTGCATATAGCTGATTGTTATTTCCGGGTTAGTTTACGAGAAAAATAAACTTGTTGTAATCTTTATTTCTGCATATAAAACAATGTCTAGCAGATAAAAAAGGTAAATCATCATGTTTAGTGATAAATAATCTGAATTTCACATTTTTATTGATCAAGTTTGTTATCACCTGTTCGTTTACCTAAATTCTCTATAAGGATACTATGTAACTTTTTAAAGTACATAATGTCGACCGATATGCTTCGCCCTTTCAAATCGTACATGCTTTCATCCACAACAAAACACATGATAGTTTGGCTGCATCTCTTCCTCGGATACCTTTGTTATGATATGAGATATATGGCTTCTTATTCCTCGATGCTCCGATAAGTGTCGCTTCGGACAGCATAGCGTGAATAGCGCCGAACACACGTCAAACCAGTCGAAATTATAGTCCATAAAATGAATCCGCGAAGAAAAAGTCCATCCATATTTCAATACTTTCAAACTTTGAGTGTTGTTTCCTATTATAATAACTCACGGCAAAACTATACTTTATTACACTGCACATGCGACAAGACCAAAATTTGTTTCTTAGTTATTGTTTATCTTTAATGTTAGAACGCGCACATACCATAGAGGCATAATTGGATCAAAATAAAAACAACATTATCGTGAAAAAACATTTGTTACACAGTTTTCTGGTACAAGCTTTTTATACTGTTTGTTGTTTTACGCCGGAATATTCAGCAATATTCTGCGGTTAGTAAAGATTTCTTATGATAAAGGAAATGGTCTTGTCGCTTTTATTAATATACCACTCGGATATACCTTATCTGTGTTTTGTTTTTCCCTAGGATCAGGGGCGGTCGGGTAGCCTAGTGGTTAAAGCCTTTGCTCGTCACGCCGAAGATCCGGGTTCGATTCCCGACATGGGTACAATGTGTGAAGCCCATTTCTGGCGTCCTCCGCCTTGATATTGCTGGAATATTGCTAAAAAATGCGTAAAATCATACTCACTCACTCACCTTACCCTAGAATCAGATACATACAAATTATTTCGTTCGAGAACAATCTCGGATATGACGCTTCCCATCAGTCACACATTGCTTCGGGTGGAGACATTTACTTGCCGTAAGAGGCGACTAACGGGATCGGGTGGTGAGGCTCGCTGCCTTGGTTTGATGCATATCTTCATATCCCAATTGCGTGGTTCAATGCTCATGACATTACTCACTGGAGTGTCTGGTCCAGACTCGATTATTTACAGACCGCCGTCATATAGCTGGAATATTTCTGATTGCGGCGTTTAACAACAAACTAAATAAAACCAAAACATCACTGAGTGATGGGTGACCCAGTCGTCTAAGGCGCCTCGATTCGCTGTGCAGAGTTGCGTCCCTTGGGCACACCAGAAACCTATGATTGTGGGTTCGTGGGTGCTCGTGGGTTTCGCCGAAGTGGTAAACGTCTGGGACCTGCATCACCTGGAGTTTTCCTCCCACATTAGGAGACGCGCCGTGATATAACTGGAATACTGTTTTAAGCGGCGTTAAACCCAATTCACTCACTCACTCACTCAATCGTTAATGCCTCCATATTCATGGATAGGTAAAACCTCTATATTCATCAATAGTTAAAACCCGAGTACTTAAAATTTGTTTCTCCAAAGAGTGTTAATAATTCGGGGTAAGCAATTATTGCCATCTTCCATCCATGCCACCACAGACATTTCAAAAGACGAAACAAATAAGCATATAAAATTTGCTCTACCCCCATGTATCATGTAATAAACTGTATTTTTATACCCTGAACGAGAATATTTAAAGCACGAGGACGCTTGCATCTGAGTGCTTTGTCGTTATTATAGTTCAGGGCAAAACTATACTTAAAACCACTTTGCATGGGGGTAGAGCAAACTTTATCACTTTTCTAAGATGCCGAATTTAAGACTAACGTTGTGTTTTATTAGAGATGGGTTTAAAAAGAAATCTGTAATGAGTGGTGCCCTCAATTGAAAATTCACGAACAGGGCTAAGTGACGGGCTATTCCATCTAATTGCGTGTACCCTTTCGTGAAGAGACATATTTACGTTTAAAACTAAAAAAACACCCCTTTTCTGCAAGGGCGGCCATTTTCCACAGGACCCCTGCGTATTTTACTTTTATGGATATACCTTTAACATCATGTCCACAAAGAAGATTTCACTATCACGCAACTTCTGTGTCAAGCTCAGAATGTATCTCACCGGCCGCGTCATACCAAAAGACGTTAAAAGATGGTACTTGTTGTTACCTTGTCTGGCGCTCGGCATTAAGGGGCTAAAACAAGGACAGGTCGGCTCGGAGTCAGTATACTGTGTCTGAGTGGGGTATTTATGTTAAACTGCGGCATGGTATCTCAGTGAGCTAGCACTATAAATCGGCATCAGTCCGGACTAGTACAAGCTGCCACGCAAACACACACACGTACATAAGTGCAATAATCTTGGACGCGACGTTAAACCCCATTTCACCTCACCTCAGAATGTACGGCCAATACTTCGCTATATGTCATCGTTGCTGTTCTACCCCCTCACGCTAGCATTGCATTGTACATCCTGGATCATATATTTTATCATATTACCAAGACAGTGTGTCAATGGTTATATTTATATCACTTCCTAAAGAAATTATGGTCTCATTGTATTTATCATTATAGATGACAATACAATGGACAATCGAGGACATAGGATGTTAAATAGGTTACACATAATAAGTCATGATAAGTACTGATTTATTGTCCCAAACCATGAAGTAGGGTGATGTTATTACATATATCTAGTTTCAATAGTATTGAGTACATGGCATACGTTTGTATGTATTGTGTTTGGTTAATAACACATATGTCCGTATCCACTGAGAATATGTTGTAGAAGTTAGAGGAGCCGAAGAGAAACAGAGCAGGTGTACTCTACAACACAATAGGTGTAACGCATATACAAATCTACAAATACACGTTTGGTGTGAAGTCCTTTTTCCGCAGGAACTGTACACCAACCATGTTTTTTTAATGACTGCTCTTTTTCAATGACTATGTATTGTAAGCTTTATACATCGATGTAATGTCAATTTGCGCAGTGAACACTGTCTCAGCGTCAAAAAATTTAGATAAGGACGTGTGGATGTTCATGTATATCAAACATAGCTGCAGAATCAAGCGCCATGTAGTATTGGCGGCTGTCTTGAGACGAATGAAAATATACTAATACTCAAGTATTCATCCTTGGTTTCTTAAGTTACTTCATTGAGTGACTTCAGTCTTAAACTCAGATTAGTATATATAATAAAGAAATACTGTCGTAAATATATATCGTAAATATCATATGTTTAAAATGTAAAATGCTAGCATAATGAAATTATTATATTCCCCAATGTTATATTTACAATACGGAAACGTCCTCGCATCTGGTTCAAATCTGGCGATTTAGAGGGTTTCAGAAGGTCTTGTAGATTGTGGTTGTGTAGGAGTGCAGCTGTTACACGTGCTGTATGCGGTCTTTGTCTATGCATTGTCGATAGATGACGTTATGGTACATAATGGGATAAACGTGTTGCTGAATTTGTTTTCTTAAAGGTTCAATGTGCAGTGGCACTACAACACTTCTGCAAGTCGTCCAAGACGCCGATTTGAGCCAAAAAAAGATCAATGAGACTTTTTTCAAACCTTTAGGCGGTTATTTATAGAAATGTAATCATAACAATTTCACATATACAAAATCCCTGACAATGCCGAATTGATTAGATTAAGCAGGTTTTGAGATATTTTCAAGTAATTATAAGCTTAAGCTTCTTTTCAGCATCTTATTATTGGCTTTTAAATGTCTAGGAGGTGGCAAGTAGGGTGCTTAAAGTGGCATTACACAGACCATCAAGAGACCATCTTTTCAAACATAAGACTGGTTTGCCGTAATATAGTCCACATCTGGTATACCAATTCAACGGGATATTCGCAAATCTGTTTGTTATGGCAGAAAATAAGCTTAAAATATTTTTTATGGGTTATAACTGGCTAAGTTATAACCTATAACTCCTGCACAACAAATATATTTCGGATGTCCTTAGATTTCACTGAGAGACATCTAGTACACTTAAAGTGGCTATCTAATCATATCAGGAATAACCAGTAACTGAATTAATCAAATCACAGGCATAAACTGATGCTGCTTTTCTTTAAGAGTCAAACACAGGCTACTGGTCCATAAAGGATTCCAACTTTTGTTCATATTTGTTCATGAATCACGTTTCCTTTGTCACCAGTTCACCCTCAGCGGTTGAAGAAGGCTTACAGATAAGCCTTGTAATTTCAAAACTTGGTTTCTATTATCATACTGAGAAGTCACAGGAACATTGTTGACCAGAACTTGGTTTGGCATCTTGGTGACACCAAATATTGTGATTCCATCCAGTTTCATTTCCGAAAGCATGTCATAGTTATCAACCAAAACCGTGCTCTCGAGAATCTTTCCTGCCACAGAGAAAGTCACCAAACTGTATTTCTCCTTCTCCACAGAATCTAAAGACTTGCCATCGTCCCAGTACACTTCCCCTTTGGCAGAACCGTCATTTGCTAGTGCAACGATCAGCGAGAAGCTCTGAATCCGGAGAGCTGCAGTCGTTGTAGAAGCTGGTTTGGTGGGTAGTACTGACCCTCCTCGAACGTGCAGGTTGATCTTTGACAAAGGGGCATCAAGTAGAACACTCCCACCGACGGTAGACAGACAAGAACCGTTGTAGAAGTCGTACCATACGTCAGAAGGGAAGTAAGCTGACACAGACGTAGCCCCTTCTTCAAGGACGGGGGATATGAGGAGGGATGTGCCCCACAAGAACTGTTTGTCGACTTCTGAAGCTTCTCCTGGGTACTGGAAAAATAACGGTCTGACAACTGGCGTTCCCTGAATGTGGTTCCTGAAGAACAGACTGTAAAGATATGGCAGAAGGAGGTACCTCGTCTGAAGAACTGACCTCATGTAACCCTGGGTCACTGAATCAAATGCTCCTGGGTCTTGGTCCTTCTGTCCTAAGGCATCGTGGTTCCTCATGAAAGGGTAAAATGCTCCAACCTGCATCCATCTGGTACAGAGTTCTGGTGTTGTATCTCCACCGAATCCACAAATATCAGCTCCAACAAACGGAATCCCGAACATCTGGAAGTTGATAATACCAGGGATGGAATAATACAAGTCTGGCCACCCTGATCTGTTATCGCCAAGCCAGTGTCCTCCATATCGTCCAGAGCTTGGAAAGGTGGAGCGAGATATCACGATGCTTCTCTCGGACTTGAGCTGGTTTAGGACACCCATTGATGCTCTCACTTCACTGAATCCATACAGGCTGTGGACATTGTAATGGGATGAGATATGATGTTGTGCCGAGGGACAAAGGGTTTTTGAAAATAGTGAAGATCCGTCTATAACCGGGGGGATAAAAGGAGGATTGTCCAGGGAGTTGTTTGTACATCCTGATATTGATCCGTCTACAAAGTTGGAAGGTTCATTCATGTCTGTCCAAAGACCATCAAACGACACTACATCGTGATACATCTTCGCCTGTCTATACCACCAGTCTGAGGCATTTGGGTTTAAGAAGTCGGGGAACACGGTTTGTCCTGGCCATACTTTACCTTGCAAATTGCTACCATCGTGTGCTTTAACGAAGATGTCATCCTCCACGCCTTCATCATAGGGAGGGTAACTGCCAGGTGTCTCAACACTGCTAATACCAGGGTCCACAATGATGACGTACTTTTGGTCATTCCGATGCAAATCATCGACTATGTCCGGCAATCCTGCATATGTTTTGTTGTCATACGTCCAATCTAGATGAGATGACATGTAGTCTATATCGTTCCATTGCACATCATAGGGAATATTTGCTGCTCGGTTCCTGTCAATGACCTTTTTCAGTTCAGTTGAAGACATGTAGCCATATTTGCACAAATGGAACCCGAAGGACCAAAATGGTGGGAAGAAGGGTTTCCCGATAAGATTGACGTACTGTCGGACAACTGCGTCTGGCGTCGGTCCGAGGAAGACATAGAAGTCCAGTATGCCCCCTATACTCCTATAGGTGAGTGCAGATGATCCGTAGGCGGGCTGAAGGTCCACCTCCATGGCGTTGCTGTTTAACAGGAATACACCATGAGCATTATTCTTTCCATCCAGGTTCATGAAAAATGGATGAGAGCCATAGAGATTCTCGTCCAGTGTTGGTGCTTGATCCCTAGCCCAAAAGACGATCTTTGTCCACTCTGTGTCCAGTTTCAGGCTTGACCGATGCTCACCTAACCCATAGACATTGCTTGTAGCCAGCTTGGTTCCGATCTGGATAAACTGATCAGAGAATATAAGCGGGGACACTCCCGAAGAGTCGAACATGATCTCCCCTGTCGAAATCCTTCTGATTGTGATAGCAAACTGTTCAACTGATAAACTGACCTTATAGTCCGGGTTGCTAGCCATCTCTGTCCCTTTATGGAGATCGATAGGAACCTCATATCTTTTACTGTTGGGGTCAAATATTCTGAAGCGGAGTCGTTCATTAGTCTCATACGTGACCTCCAGCTTGAGCTCCATAACATCGCCCGGGTAGGGGGACTGTGTTGACCTTTGAAGCACAGCTTCCATTCCGTGTGTGGTATTCTGAAATGATGTGACTCGATAGGAGTTGTTGTAGACCCGGGGATAGAAGCATGTTGGTACCCCCTGACCTACATTGGTGTCCCAGCAGCACCCCCGAGCCTCACATGCCTGCTGGACAGCGCTTTTTGTCTCCGGCCAACAGTCGAAGCGATCCGAGTCGAATGTGACATCACACTGAGGGGCACTCACAAGCACGTTAGGAACAGTAGTGTTCTGACTCGACGATCTCGATCCACAGTGGAAATAGCTCAAGAGGTTGTGAAACTGTGTCGGGTTTATGATGGAAAGTGTTCCGAGAGCAAACAGGGAAAATGTCAGTGTGAGGAGGAGGACGTCAAAGGTGAGTCCCCGTGATGTCAATCTCAGTCGTCTCCGAGATTTGGGGAGAAAAACGAGAATCTTTTCCTCTTTTTCTCCCATGTCAGTATATCTGTGTATACTGAAGTGTACAATAGCAAAGTGATATCAGCGAGACAATAGTCCAGTGACAATTATTTATTATCATCTGACTAAACTTTGTCATATGACCACTGATATGAAGGGCGCTCTGACCCCCTACAAATAGCCTTGAACGTCACTAATCAGTTAGACTATGAGTATGTCAAGAGGAACAGATAACTGCTTATGTATCTCATATGCAGAAGCTATCGACCATTTGATATTCGTGGGCTGTATGTGTGTGTGTGTGGTTGGGGTGGGGTGGTCGTGGGTGAGGGTGGGGGGGGGGGGGGGGGGGGGGGGGTGTTTGGTCTGGATATTTATCGGAAAAGATAATTGGGACAAAAAATCAAATTATCAGTCCCTTATCTGCTGGAATACTTTGGTCTCAGTTTCGAATTCGAGACTCACTCCTGCTATAATCCTTTTTTGTCATCTAAACTGTGATACCCCTCGAGGCTGAAAGTGAGTGAGTGAGTGAGTATGGATTTACGCCGCTTTTAGCAATATTCCAGCAATATCACGGCGGTTGACACCAGAAATGGGCTTCACACATTGTACTTATGTAGGGATTTGAATTCGGGCCTTTGGCGTGACGAGCGAAAGATTTAACCACAAGGCTACCCCATCGCCCCAGAGGCTGAAAGCTTCTGAAAGCTGATAATGTCTATCCACTCACCATAACAAATGGCCATACAACTTTGCATTGTTATTGTGATATAAATCTTGTTGTTCAAGATGTAACAAATTATTTATTAAACAAATATTTGATAACGACCGTTAATACTTCACGGCCTTGTAGACAGTGCGTTACTCTCTAGTAGAGTATAGAACCCGTGAAGTATTGGCGAGGTGTAATGTTCTGTACATGGAGAATCTCCGGACTATTTATATCGCAGTGTCAAGCCACCGCCTATAATAGGAGTGGGTGAGTATTGTTTTACGCCGCGTTTAGCAATATTCCAGGAGTATAACGACGGGGGACACTAGAAATGGGCTTCACACGTTGTACCAATGTGGGGAATCGAACCTGGACCTTCGACGTGACGAGCGAACGCTTTAACCACTAGGCTACTCCACCGTCCCCTGTCTATATGTCTCGTCGGCGAGGGAAAGTATCCAGGACGCCATTCGAAGTGCTACAGCTGTCGTATCTTGCATAGTTTATCATAGACTTCCGCCAGTCGTGGCGTTACAGTCGCTTTGTGAAACCGGACCCTGTATTTTAAAATCGTTGAGCGAGTAATGTCTTGTTTAAGATAATTGTATAGCATATGCCATGGTACCATGTTGCTTGACCTAACAGGTAACTGAAGTGGATCGGGTTGGCAGTCTCGGTTGTGTTGGCTTGCAGTTTATCATCATACCCCACTAGTTTGTCTGGCATACCCCACTAGTTCGTCTGTCATACCCCACTAGTTTGTCTGTCATACCCCACTAGTTTGTCTGTCATACCCCACTAGTTTGGTCATACCCCACTAGTTTGTCTGTCATACCCCACAAGTTTGTCTGTCATACTCCACTAGTTTGTCTGTCATACTCCACTAGTTTGTCTGTCATACCCAACTAGTTTGTCTGTCATACCCCACTAGTTTGTCTGTCATACCCCACTAGTTTGTCTGTCATACCCCACTAGTTTGTCTGTCATACCCCACTAGTTTGGACATACCCCACTAGTTTGTCTGTCATACCCCACTAGTTTGTCTGTCATACCCCACTAGTTTGTCTGTCATACCCCACTAGTTTGTCTGTCATACACTACTAGTTTGTCTGGCATACCCCACTAGTTTGTCTGTCATACCCCACTAGTTTGGTCATACCCCACTAGTTTGTCTATCATACCCCACAAGTTTGTCTGTCATACCCCACTAGTTTGTCTGTCATACTCCACTAGTTTGTCTGTCATACCCCACTAGTTTGTCTGTCATACCCCACTAGTTTGTCTGTCATACCCCACTTGTTTGTCTGTCATACCCCACTAGTTTGGTCATACCCCACTAGTTTGTCTGTCATACTCCACTAGTTTGTCTGTCATACTCCACTAGTTTGTCTGTCATACCCCACTAGTTTGTCTGTCATACCCCACTAGTTTGTCTGTCATACCCCACTAGTTTGGTCATACCCCACTAGTTTGTCTGTCATACTCCACTAGTTTGTCTGTCATACTCCACTAGTTTGTCTGTCATACCCCACTAGTTTGTCTGTCATACCCCACTAGTTTGTCTGTCATACCCCACTAGTTTGGACATACCCCACTAGTTTGTCTGTCATACCCCACTAGTTTGTCTGTCATACCCCACTAGTTTGTCTGTCATACCCCACTAGTTTGTCTGTCATACACTACTAGTTTGTCTGGCATACCCCACTAGTTTGTCTGTCATACCCCACTAGTTTGGTCATACCCCACTAGTTTGTCTGTCATACCCCACAAGTTTGTCTGTCATACCCCACTAGTTTGTCTGTCATACTCCACTAGTTTGTCTGTCATACCCCACTAGTTTGTCTGTCATACCCCACTAGTTTGTCTGTCATACCCCACTTGTTTGTCTGTCATACCCCACTAGTTTGTCTGTCATACCCCACTAGTTTGGTCATACCCCACTAGTTTGTCTGTCATACTCCACTAGTTTGTCTGTCATACCCCACTAGTTTGGTCATACCCCACTAGTTTGTCTGTCATACTACACTAGTTTGTCTGTCATACCCCACTAGTTTATCATCATACCCCACTAGTTTGTCTGTCATACCCCACTAGTTTATCATCATACCCCACTAGTTTGTCTGTCATACCCCACTAGTTTGTCTGTCATACCCCACTAGTTTGTCTGTCATACTCCACTAGTTTGTCTGTTATACCCCACTAGTTTGTCTATCATACCCCACTAGTTTGTCTGTCATACCCCACTAGTTTGTCTGTCATACCCCACTAGTTTTTCTGTCATACCCCACTAGTTTATCATCATACCCCACTAGTTTGTCTATCATACCCCACTAGTTTGTCTCTCATACCCCACTAGTTTGTCTGTCATACCCCACTAGTTTGTCTGTCATACTCCACTAGTTTGTCTGTTATACCCCACTAGTTTGTCTATCATACCCCACAAGTTTGTCTGTCATACCCCACTAGTTTGTCTGTCATACCCCACTAGTTTGTCTGTCATACCCCACTAGTTTATCATCATACCCCACTAGTTTGTCTATCATACCCCACTAGTTTGTCTGGCATACCCCACCGTCATGGTTCAGCTGAAATCTTTCTGACTTGTATAAAAACAAGCGAAAAGTACAGAAAGGCCCACTTGTAAATTCACTATAGTTATATATAAAAAAGAATAGTTTATTTCGTTATGACTGAGCATTCGTTAGAGACACGGTTAACAGTATTTCTCTCAGAAGTAAATCGTAACATTAACGCAGTTCAACATGTACCTTGAGCTGAGCCGCTAGATCTCTGGTTCAGTAACTAGAGCAGTCCTTCCGTATCACTCCATCTCGTTTCACCCAGTCCGATATTCTCCCGCCAGTTCTCCAGCCTGACATAGGCCAAGTCAGAGAGATGCCGAGCTACATAACACCATGCCGTATCTCTGGTATCACCCTTAGTGTTTTAACATATCTGGCGGGGGCATGGGTGGTCCAGTCGTCAAAGGGGCCGCGATTCGCTGTGCAGAGTTGCGTCCCTTGGGCACGCCAGAAACCTATGATTGTGGGTTCGAATCCCGGTTCGCCCCGATAATGTTTCTAGGTTTGTCAGCACCATACCTGTGCTCGTGGGTTTCACCGAAGTGGTAAACGTCTGAGACCTGCATCACTTCGGGCTTTCCTCCCACATTAGGCTGATACGCCGCGATACAACTGGAATACTGTTAAAAGCGGCGTTAAACCCAACTCACTCACTTACTAACATATCTGGCCACATTGGGTTTTGTATGGAATCCTTAAAGGGACATTGTTGCGTTGTCGTGCGTTGTCGCCCTTACAAAACCACGGAAAACAAAATGCAACATCACGACTATGCCACAACGAAAACATGTTACTTCTAACTTTACATAGTTTGGCCTCACTGTTAGGAACGCCTATATTCAGTGTTTCTCGACACTCATGAATAGTTAATACCTCCATACTCATGAATAGTCAATACCTCCATATCAATGTATAGTTAATACCTCCATGTGCTTGAATAGTTAGTACCTCCCTAGCAATGAATAGTTAAAACCTCTATATTTATGAATAGTTAATACCAACATATCCAAATAGTTAATACCTCAATATTCATAAATAGTTCATGCCTCCATACCCATGAATAGTTGATACCTGCATGCCATGGATAGTTGTCTCGTTAGGACTGTCCTGTCGTTAAAGGAGATATATCTTCCTACTGGGCAGAGGTATAAATCTCTTACTTTGGCATTTGTTTTCCCATATCAAATACAACTCAGACTTGAAAAGAAAACGCCCCTGTATTTACTAGCGTAGGCTGAGGTGGTTTCATACGACAAACGACCCGTGAAGATCCGGGTTAGAATAAGTCTTCAGCAACCCATGCATTCTGTAAAAGGCGACTATGCTTGTCGTAAGAGCCGACTAACGGGATCGGGTGGTCAGGCTCGATGACTTGGTTGATGCATGTCATTGATCCCAATTGCGTTGATCGATGCTCATGATGTCAATCACTAGATTGTCTGGTCCAGATTCGATTATTTACAGACCGCCGTCATATAGCTGGAATATTGCTGAGTGCGGCGTTAAACAACAAACAAACAATCATATGACAAACAGGTAATACAAACCCTTGGCGGTCAGTGGTAGTGTGGGCGTGTAATCGATTGTTTGTATAACTTACTGAGCTGTCTTGTTAGATCTGCTCTCGTCGGTTTTATTCATAGCTGTACTTACCCTAAAACTCTGTCAGAATATATTACCTAGACGGGATGCTAAACAAGCTCGTAAAACCAGGTAGCTGCGGTGAGTGGTCATAGATC